CAGAAATTCAGATACTGTGGAATGCTGGGAAGCCTCTCATCTTAAAGCTGTGTGAGGTTATGGAAAGTTTATTCATCAGTGGTGGTGAACTTGACGTGGCATTAAATGAGAGAAGTGAGAGAGATTCCAAGATGGCTGAACAGGGCAACGATGCGCTGATTTTAACCAGGGGAGCGCAGCAGAAGAAAAGCAGATGAAGCGTAGTCCCAGGGGAGAGCTGGAGCTACGTTGCAGTGGAAAATTCTACTCAACGAAGAGGGACGCTGTGGAGCAGCGTGGAAAGGGTGGGCACACAGCAGTGCGCAGGAACACCACATACAACTCCCGCAGCCAGGGGTCAGAGGAGACGCCAGCTTCTGAGAGCCAGGTGAGGGCAGACTGTGGCAGCCAGAGCCACTGGTGATGTTGCATGAGCAAGATCCTTGTGGACCACACTGACTTAGCCCTAGTGAGGAGCATGGTACCCACCTAATCCAATCAAAGAAAAGCACATTTCTTCCTCCCCATTCCCCTACAAGGGTTCCCAGCACTGGCAGGGAGAAGGTGGCATCTTGTCAAAACTAGAGGCTGCGAGGCTCTTGTATGCGTGCGTTCAGAGGATTTTACCAGAGGTAGAACCCTGTTTCCCACTGACTTGGAGTCGGGACAGAAGGGTTGACAGGGGGCTGGGCAGCAACTGAGGACTCTGAGGTGCCCCTTCCTCTCAATCAATCACAGGCTCTGGGGCTCAAACTGCAGGCAAAGCACCCACAGGCAGCTCAATCTAGAATCGGCTCTGCTGTCTCCGTGGACAGAGCAGGCTTGCAGGGTGGGGAGAGAAGCCTCTGAGCCTCGTGGCTGTGGGGCCTTTCACACTGTGACTGGGATTTCTGTGACTGCACAATAGGGTGTGTAGAGTGTAGCCGGGTCTCAGTGATCATTGTGTCTGGCGGCAAAGGCTCAGAGCTCCCGGTGCGTCACTGCAGAGGGTTCTGTGCATGATTGTACCATCGGCTACTGCTGACAACAGAGGAGATCTACCATAACCAAACTGACGTTACCCTGGATTCTCACCCTGCCCTGGAGTACCCACTCTGGCCAGTGCTGAACACCATCCCCCGCTCCCCCCAGCACAAGCCTCTGCTGGGTATTCACTGAAGGAGTAGACGCTTCTCTAAGCCACAGAGTCATAGTTCAAAGATCAAACCCATCAGTGGAGAAAACCAACAAGTGTTTCCAAAAATGCCTAAAGATAAACCCTGAAATACAAGAAATGAGAACAAGGAAAGCAATAGGACTCCCTCAAAGGAGTGAATGTGAAGACAAAGAGATTGATGAAATGCCAAAAAAAAAAAAAAAAAAAAAAAAAAGGAATTCAAAAGAATGCTCATAGGATCATTTAGAAGCAATGAGAAGCAAGTTCAAGAGTTAAGGAAATGCATATGTGACATGGATGAAAAATTTTCCTGTGAGATAGAGATTATGAGGTGAAATCAAGATGAAATATTAGAAATGAAGAATTCAATATGCCAAATGAAACATATAGTGGAAAGCCTTAGCAACAGACTTGGTGAGACAGAAGGAAGAACTTCCAACCTAGGAGACAAATCTTAGGGAATATCTCAGGTAGACCAAAAAAAGAAGAAAATAGAAATATTAAAAAAAAGTGAGGATCACTAGCCATCAGAGAAATGTAAATCAAAACCACAATGAGGTTTCACCTCTCCAAAGAATGGCTCTCATACAGAAATCAATAAATAATAAATGCTGGTGAGGATGTGGATAAAATGTACCCTAATCCACTGCTGCTGAGAATGCAAATTAGACAGCCATTGTGGAAAATAGTATGGAGATAACGCAGCTGAAAATAGATCTCCCGTATGACCCAGCTATCCCGCTCCTGGGGATTTACCCAAATGAAATGAAATCAGCAGGTGAAAGAGTTATCTGTACCCACATGTCTACTGCAGCTCAATTCACAATAGCTAAGATAAGGAATCAACCCAGATGCTCATCCATTGATGACTGGAATAAAGAAAATGCGGTATAAATATACTATGGAATATTATTCAGCCATAAAAAGAATGAAATCCTGTCTTTCACAACAAAATGGATGCAACTGGAAACCACTGTGCTTAGTGAAATAAGCCAACCCCTAAAAGACAAATATCATGTTTTCCCTGATCTGTGGTAACTAAGAGAGTACAAAAAGTGTAATGTATATTAGTGAAATTGACATTTTGAAAACTGATTAGTTTTTGTAGTCCTTGTCTCTACTGTTGTGTAACAGTGTTTTTTTTTCTCACTTTTTATTGAATTATTTACATTGTGGAGGATTAATTTTATCATTATAAAATAAATTGTATGTCATTGTCAAAGTTAAGAGAAAGAACAAGCAACATAGGAGGTTGGGAGTAGGGGCAGGAGGGTGGGTATGGTGGGAAGTATCACTGTACTCATAAATCTATATTTTTAAATACATAAAATTTGTTGACTTCATATAAATAAAAATTGTTAAAAATAGTAAAAAATGAGAGAAGCAATTGTGTACTAATACTAAAGCAGGTGCAAAATTTAGTTGAAAGTAGCAGAAGAAATACTCATAGCTCAGATTTCCCTTTATTTGGGAACGTACTAGCGGACTCCTGCCAGAAGACCAGTCAGTAATGAACCGAGCAAGAGTTCTCAGTGTCTAGGATTTATGACCTTGTCAGGTACAGAAGAACTGCTGCCTGAAGACAAACCTATCTTCTAAGTCTTGATCCATTTGCTTCACTTCTCTTGTGTCAGCTTTCCATAAATGACCTCCCATATTTTACCAGGCTACTTTCATCTTAAAGCATTTTTAATTCCAAGTACATGTTTGGCACAAGCTTTGTTTTTAATTGAATGATATATTAAATAATAGATCCTAAGACTTGTTGGATATTTATTAAGATCTTAATATCCCCATTCACACCATTCTTCTAAATTCATTCGCTGAATGAGAAAACACAATTATTTCTTAATTCTCTACATCAGCTTTCATCATAAAATTGTACTTTCTTCTTCACAGAAGACTATATAGGGAAATGGAAATCATTTAAATCTTTGCTACTCAAAGAGAACAATAAAAGACCAGTTAAAACGATTGCTAGAGCGCTTCATTGAAATAGGAGATTGAAAAACCACATCTAAATTTACTTCTTCCAGAAGAACCAGATAATGTCCTGAAAACACAGATACATACACATGGACTGTCAAAAACGCAAGATAAGCAGCTACTAATTTTTTGAAATTAAAAAACGGAAGTGCAAGTGGCACCGAGTAAGTGGATTTAATTCAGCCAACCCCCTAAGCCTGTGTAGGGAAAAGCGGGAGATTTCATATGCGCTGAAGAATCTTTAAGGGGCTCAGGAGTTAGCAGCACCGAGGACTTCTGGTATTTCTGTGACTACCAGAGAGGGAAGAGAACACCAGATGGGAAAAGTAATTAAGTAAAGAAAATGTGATAAAAGTTGCTCAAGAATCATTTAAAACCTCAGATGCCCTCCAAGATCCCAATTTACAAGGACTAATTCACCCCTACCCCAAGAGAAAGAGGAAAGATTTTTCTTTAGGAAAGTTTATTTTTAATTTTTTAAAAAATATTAATTTATTTGAAAGTCAGAGAGAGAGACAGGGTGGTGGTGGTGGGGTGGGAGTTGGAGAGAGAGATCTTTCACCTGTTGTTTCACTCCCCAGATGGCTACAACAGCCAGGGCTGGGCCAGGCCAACACCAGAAGCCAGGAGCTTCATCTGGGTCTCCCACATGGGTGGCAGGGGTCCAAACACTTGGGCCATCCTCCATTGATTTTCCCAGGCCATTAGCAGGGAGCTGGATTGGACGTAGAACAGCCAGGACATGAAATGGCACCAATATGGGATGCCAGCACCTTTGGTGGTGGCTTTACCTACTATACCACAATGCTGGCCCCTAGAAAAGTTTAAAACAGAGCTCCCTGGACTGGGGATGTCAGCCCGGGGAACTTAGAAAAACAGAGCACTAGTGAAGAATAAATACTGAGTTCTGGGCCCAGGCATTTCATGTAGCAGCTCACACATCACTGGAGAAGCCTACCTCCCACATGGAGAGTCTGGGTTCAGTTCCAGCTTAGCTCCCGATTCTGGCTTCCTGTTAACGTGCACGCTGGGAGGCAGCAGGTGGTGGTTGTAGTAGCCAGGTCCCTGCCACCCACGTGGGAGACATGGATTGAGTTCCTGGTTTCCAGATTATGCCCTGCCCATCATGCTGGCTACCGTGGTACTGTGGTCACTTTAGAGAGTGAAACAGCAACTAGAAATTTTCTCTCTCCTTTTTCCCTCTCCCCTTCTCCTTCCCTAATAAATTAATAAAAATGTTTAATTCTGAATATTGGGGACACCAACCCTCTCCTGGAAGCTCACTTCACAGAACTCTGGATCTCAATCTCTACTCTTTGGGCTGAGGACTGGCGAGTCTTCCCTGGCATACCTGTTCAACTCAAGAGGAATCACAGCAAGACACCAACATCTGGAGTTGGCAGCTAACGGTCTGCCTAGAACTCCCTACTGTAAATTCCAACAACTGCAAGCCCTATTCCCATACACTGATATTTGATCAACTTTTTTAAGCTTTCACTCTAAGAGCAGTGAAAAAATGACAGGGGAAAGGCCGTTTGGAAGACAGAGACTGCTGAGAGCAGAAAATTTTAGGAAAATAACTGTTTTTTGATATCATCTCAGAAACAAAAAAAAGTGTGGAGTCCATTATCAGGTCAGAGAACAAAAAAGCAGTACTCAAAAAAAAAAAAATTATTGGAAACTAAAAAAAAAAAAAGGGGGGGGGAGAAATGAAAAACCTCAACAGATTTAAGGAAGCTTTGTAGAAAATAGGGAAAAAATACCTTACAATGAAGGGGAAAATTTAGAAATTTTGGGAGCAATCCAGGATGTCCAATATCCAAAAAACATTTCAAAAGGAAGGAACTGAGAAAACAAGAGAAGATTATCCACCAAATAGTGCAAAGGAATTTCCCAGGATTAAAATATAAATTGAGTGCAATAGAAATTCAGTATCTGGCATTGTTGGTTTTCTTGGCTTTGTGCATGTTAAACCTGGTATTTCTGTTGATACAGTATTTGTTCTTTTTATTTATTTTTCATTTTTAAAGATTTATTTATTTGAAAGTCAGAGTTACACAGAGAGGAGAGGCCGAGAGAGAGAGGCAGAGAGAGAAAGAGAGAGAGAGGTCTTCCATCTGCTGGTTCACTCCCCAGATGGCCGCAACAGCTGGAGCTGCGCTTATCTGAAGCCAAGAACCAGGACTTTCTTCTGGGTCTTCCACATGGGTGCAGGGGCTCAAGGATTTGGGCCATCTTCTACTGCTTTCCCAGGCCACAACAGAGAGCTGGATCAGAAGTGGAGCAGCCAGGACTAGAACCCACGCCCATATGGGATGCCAGCACTGCAGGTGGAGGATTTACCTACTGCGCCACTACGCCAGCCACAGTATTTGTTCTTTTCATACAGTTTAGTTTGATGTAATCTTTCATGTTTATTTTTTCTAGTGTGTCAAGAATCAAAACTCAAGAGTAAATTGCTTGAAGAAATTATATTCCAAAGATTTTAGGTGGAATTTTGAAGTTATTATGTAATTCAAGTGAGGATTAACAGACCAGCAATTGTGGGCTAATATGACACTGTGAATTATGCATCAGTTTGTTCAAAAGGGCTAGAAGATTTAAAAGAGCTAGCTAGATGACTTTGGACAGTGGAAGGAACTGCAACATTTATTCCTTAAATAAAAAGTTATTATTAACTTTAAATAATTTTGCCTTATGTTATAAAGTATAAAAAATAACTTTACACTGGTTTCTAGGAAAAAAATAATTGAAATAAAGGGTTCGGGGGGGAGGGAACATGATGGATGAAAATATATCTATACTGGGTATTTTATGTGGCACTAACACATTTCAGAACCAAATTGAGAAACAGAAGATTCTAGAACCAGAGAGACAGACAGAAAGTTCCTAAATCAGATCAAACCATTTTCTATAATAATAAAAATGGAGCAGTAACTTCAAAACTCTTAAGGAAAATAGTTTCTCAACTACAGTTCCATGCTTAATTAAGTAGTCATGTAGAGGAGTCAAAGCTCCCTATTTTCAAACAAGTGCGAAAACAAGAAGGCTATCTCCCATACCATTTTCTGTGCTCCACCAAGCTAAGAAAATAGATAAGGAAAGAGTTTCCATGGGCCACAGGAGAAAACAAAGGAATCAAAGTTGTCCAGAGACCAAGGCAGGAAGGTGTGCTTGTTGAACTACAAGGATAGCTCTATAACAAACTGGTGTCCTGAACATAGCAGCTTCAAAAAGGCAGCACTTCCATTCTCTCTCATTCCACATCCTCAAGTTCATCAATCCAGGCTGGTGGGAAGTTTCTGCTTCACAAAACTATTCAGGAATCTGAGCTCTTTGTCTTACTCTTCACCCAGACACCTGTACTGCGCTGCATATTCAAAGCCTGCCGTTATCACGTGTTTAAAGCAGAGGTTAACACGCTTCACATCTACTCCACCATCAGAGGTCAGTCTCATGTCACATGTGCAAGAAGAGAAGCTATGAAACACAGGGCTTAGTTATTCACACTTCTGTCTGGATTAGACTCTTTTATCACATTAAAAGAAAGAGTAGGCTTCATAATATTTTCTGTAGAGAGCGGTAAATCCAGATTAGATCATGCTTTTAAAACTTGTGATTGGCTGGCGCCACGGCTCAATAGGCTAATCCTCTGCCTTGTGGCGCCGGCACACCGGGTTCTAGTCCCGGTCGGGGTGCCGGATTCTGCCCCGGTTGCCCCTCTTCCAGGCCAGCTCTCTGCTGTGGCCAGGGAGTGCAGTGGAGGATGGCCCAAGTGCTTGGGCCCTGCACCCACATGGGAGACCAGGAGAAGCACCCGGCTCCTGCCTTCGGATCAGCGTGATGCGCCAGCCGCAGCGCGCCAGCCGTGGTGGCCATTGGAGGGTGAACCAACGGCAAAGGAAGACCTTTCTGTCTCTCTCTCTCACTGTCCACTCTGCCTGTCAAACAAACAAACAAACAAACAAACTTGTGATTAAGAATTGCACAGGTTTTTGTATCCATGGATGTTCCTTCCCTTATGGTGAATAGAAATGCATAGTGAAATTAGCAGAATGTAATTTTGTGAGATAAGCAGTAATTTCAATGTACTTCAGATACTTGCTGATAAAACAATATAGAAATGTGTTTCTAACATAAATGGTGGTATAGTAGTTTGAATCTCTCTCCCTCAACCAATATATATAGGAAACGCTTTTGGATTGTCATAGATTGAATGAAAACACACACACACACATATTCTTAAACGAGAGAAATTTTCTAAATATGCAGACATTTTCATTTGCAGGGCATCTCTGTAAAGACAAAAGATAAAAGATGCTGGTAACAGAGGTTGCTTAACAAATTAGAACCGGTCACTATTCACCTTTTTGTTTTCTCTTTGAATTCTATTTGTATGCATTTATACTCTATCATGAAAAATATAAATTGCCTTCCCTTAAAACAAATACAAATGCATATAACCTCTGCACTAGCAATTCTGGTTCTAGTAATTCATACTGCATATATATATGTATATATATATGTTTTTATAGTTGAAAAAGAAGGAAAATATCTAAATATTCAACAACAGGAAGCTAATGGATTTAACTGTGCATATATAAACTCCAAAATATAATGCAGCCTCAAAAAAAGGGAAATTTTAGAAACTGACTCAAACCCAAAAGATTAATCGTAGTTGGTAACTATAGGAATGATCAAATAAAATGCATTCTTTGGCTAAGATCACAACTTGATTTCAAAACAGATTAAAATATTATTTTGAGGAAGAAAAAGAAAAAGACTGTAAGACTGAAAATGCAATAGCATGACATTAAACTTAAGTGACATATGAATGCATAATTGTTTGCCTTTATCTGTGAATCAAATCTGCTCAAAATCACACTTTTGTTTAAAATAGTAATGGCAATCATGCTGTTGACTCAGAGAAGTTTTACAGTAAGTCAGAAAGAACACCGGATTTGGTGTTAAGGATTTGGATACCACTTGGCTCTCTGACTCATCATCTTGGCAGCCAGTATTGTAACAGACCCAAAAGGTCCAGTCGTGGTACTCGCTGAGTGTGGACAGGGGAGCAGGATGAGGAAGGTGTAGAACATGGTCCGTGACGCAATGGGCCAAATCATCATGGAAATGTAATATAGAAAACCAGAAATAACAGAGATAATAAAAAATCGGGACCCAGAGTGAGAAAAGAGAGGTTTATAGATATACCTGAGTTCTACAAGAGTCTGAGCCTCTGAAACGGGCTCTCTGGACACAGGGACTGGCTTTTTTTTCTGGTAAGATGTCTTCAAGGTATTGGTTGGTGGTTCTATGAGCCTGGAAAAGGCATTTAATTTTTAGGAGCCTAAGTGTCCTTACCTGTAAGCTATAAATACCAATACCCAGCCAGAAATGGTATATGTGAAAGGATTCTTACCAAGATAAGATAGTATTATTTTATTTGCTACCAATGTTCAGAACAACTGCCCTGGAGGAGAATGAGAGCCCTGCTTCTGCTAACAGGACCCAACCTGTCTCCATGTGCACACAGCAGCTGTGAAATGCACTCTACAGCTCATTTTCAGCATTATGTGGTGGGGCTGTATGTTCTAAGGCCAAGCTTCACGGTGTCTTGAAGTTTTTTCTTTCTCTTGTGTTGAGAGTCTCCTGGAATGTAATCCTACAAAAACTTTGTTGCTTGTAATTTGATTTCTCCCTCTCTCTTTTTCTTTTTAAAGATTTATTTATTTATTTGAAAGTCAGAGTTACACAGAGAGAGAAGGGGAGGCAAAGAGACAGAGATCTTCCATTCGCTGGTTCACTACCCAATTGGCTGCAATGGCTGGAGCTGCACCGATCCAAAGTCAGGAGCCAGGAGTTTCTTCAGAGTCTCCGACGTGGGTGCAGGGCCCAAGCACTTGGGCCATCCTCCACTGCTTTCCCAGGCCACAGCAGAGAACTGGATTGGAAGTGGAGGAGCCAGGACTTGAACCAGCACCCATATGGGATGCCGGCACTGCAAGCTGCAGCTTTACCCACTACACCACAGTGCCAGCCCCGACTTCTCTGTCTTAATCCAATTACTTCAAAACATTAATCCAGAGAGCGTATGACGGGTGAGGCATTCTAGAATTCTCTTACAGAAATCTCTGCAATGAGAGGTAAAGGAGGATTCTCCAAAACTTTCTGTGATAAGCCCAACTATGAAATTCCACAGTGTTGGGGTTGCCACTGTGGTGTGATAGGTTCAACCTGCATCTGCAGTGCTAACATCCCATATGGATTCCGGTTTGAATCCCAGCTGCTCCACTTCTGATCCAGCTCCCTGCTAATGGCCTGGAAAAGCAGTGGAAGATGGCCCAAGTCCTTGGGCACCTATGTCCATATGGGAGAACAGGAAGAATCTCTTGGCTTCAGATCAGCTTAGATCTGGCCATGGTGGCTATTTGGGGAGTGAGCCAGCAGACTGAAGACCTCTCTTCCCCTTCTGTGTGTGTGTGAGTCTGCCTCTCAAATAAATAAATCTTTGAAAAGAATTCCACATTTTAGTTAGAAAATCAACCATTCACTGGTTCATGTTCTCCTGAATTATACCAAGGTATAAGATAGACTTCAGAATTTGTAATGTCTATTTATTAAATGATCGTAGGTCACTTATTATTGTTTTGAGTAGTATGTAGATGATCATAAATGAGGCCACGTATGTAAATGCCTATGGGTGTGCTACTAATAGATTTCTTACATCAGAAGTCTCACTCACTGTATTTTGATTTGGCACCTCTTACACATGTCTAACGTGGCAAGAAATACCTATACTATAGAAATATAGAAGATCTGAAAGTATGCACCCATATGAATTGCTGCTACAATCTGAAAGAATGAACATGTTAAATTCATAGAAATTTAGGTCAATAAAAATAAAGCACTTTAAAATGCCATCAGTTCAGGAGCAGAATAGAGATTTATCATTGTAGCAGAGATGGTTAATTGCTTCCCAATTCCCATTTGCCTT